AATTATTCTGGGAAAGCTTCGTTAATTAGGATCACAGTCTTAACCAAGGCAGTGTGTTATGTATGCATCTAAAGTTAATTAAGACATATCAGTTTGGTTCCCTCAAAGGCGTGTCAACCACCTTTTGTCTACTTGATATGCTGCATAACTGGCTATCAGCTCTTGAATCACCTGGTAGGTACCTGAGAGTGTGCTTTTTAGATCTCTTTAAAGCGTTCGACCATACTGATCATAATATTCTGGTATGGAAGCTTTTGAAAATGGGCGTTAGAACCATTATCGTCAAGTGGATTTGTAGCTTTCTATCACAGAGAGACGACAAGCTGTAAAGTTTGACGGGCTCCTTTCCGAATGTGCCCCGGTGCATGCCGGGATTCCACAAGGGACCAAGCTTGGTCCAGTTCTCTTTCTGGTTATGGTCAACGATTTAATTCGTAGATCGAGTTACTGGAAGTATGTCGACGACATCACTATTTCCGAGGTAGTTCTCCATGGTTCTCCATCAACTATACAAGATGATCTTGACAGCATTACAGCCTGAGCGGAGGAAAACTGTATGAACCTAAACCCGAAGAAGTGTAAAGAAATGCGCCTCTCCTTCCTTGCTAAAGATCCCGACGTACTCCAGCTCACCGTCAATGATACACATCTTGAAAAGGTGAGCGCGCACAAAGTGCTTGGTATTACTCTTTGTGACAACTTAAAAAGGGGCCAAAACACCAAAGAGATTGTGGACAAGGCGTGTAGACGTCTACACCTGCTAAGGGTTTTGAAACGGGCTGGAGTCCACCAGGATCACCTTATCACCATATACTGCGCCCTTGTGCGATCAGTTTTAGAGTACGCTTGCCAAGTTTGGAGTAGCAGTGTACAGTCACACCTCAAGCAGCAACTAGAGGGTGTTCAAAAACGTGCCTTAAGGATTAGTTTTCCAGGAAGTGACTATGAAACGGCACTTTATAGAGGCTCCATTCCTAGTCTCTCAGAAGGAAGGTTGTGCTTATGCAATAAGACCTTTGAGAAAGCATGCAAGCCCTCCTTGCGCTTATTTTCGAATGTTTCCCCCGCCCTCGGCGTAACGCTGTATATGGGCGTAATTGTAACCTGAGGTCTAGCCCCCGAATATCGTTGCCGAGATGCAGGACGGAGCGTTTTAAGACCAGGTTTTTTCCGGCGATGAACTTTTTACAATAGTGATGCATTTGTTTATAGCTTGTATACTATATATATATATACATGCATACTATACAAGCTATACTATATCCCTGATACTCAGAGGAGCGCTTATCAAACGCCTCGTCGGTGGAACAATTCCTTCGAAGTCTGGTAGCAACTCCTTAGGGAAGTAATGGCCCTGGTGACATGAGTAGGATGTGCACTATTCAGTAACAAGTACACATGATTATTCGTGGGTTTAGGGTAGCTATCAGTCTGGATGAAACCGTTCACCAAATTAAGAGCGTAACGCGTAATACGTTAGAGCGTAACGTCTAATAATACGTTTATACGTTAATACGTAATACGTTAAGAGCGTAACGTCTAATACGTTAAGTGAATTAGGAGATGAAGCTAAAGTAAATTTAATAGTGGGATACAGGGAATTGATAAAGTTGATGAATTCATTAAGTTTGGCATGCCCTTGGGTCCAGAGATCAAAAATGTCGTCTTTGTACCTCCACCACAGGTTGGGTTTAATTTCCCCTAATTTGGCTTTTTTATCAATCATTAATCATTTACATAACCGAGACTACAACCCTAGTTTGGTTTCACAACAATTTGAGAAAGCCCAGTCCATCCCTAGAAAAACGTTGCTCCAACCTCAACCCAAGAAGTCCAAAGAAATCTTTCCACTGGTGCTTGATTTCAACCCCCGCTTACCCAGCACTGGAAAAATTATCAGTAAGCACATGCATCTTATTTATGATTCACTATCTCTTAAAAAAATTTTCCGATAGGGTCTATCATCCCAGCTTTTCGTAAAACCAAAAATCATAAAAGAAATTTTGAGAAGAAGCTTCGTCAACAACATCGCGCCCCAGATAATCAGCGGGATTGCTTTAAGTGCAAATCCAAATGCGATCTTTGTAAAAATTATTTGAAGGAAACGAATTGTTTTACTAGCACCAGCACAGGCGGGAAGTATCCTATCTCGCAGTCAGTTGGCTGCAAATCTAAAAATGTAATCTACTTAGTTACGTGCATCAAATGCAATGTTCAATATGTAGGTTCGACAAGTAATGAATTTAAAAATTTAAAATTCGTTTTCACAACCATAAGTCTTCCATGACCACCACAAAACGGACTTGTGAAGTTGCTATTCATTACAACAAAGAGTCTCATATTTTAGCAGATTTCGTATTTTTAATAATCGAACCGTTACATAACTCTAATGCTAGTAATAATAGCATGGTTGATCGTCTGCTCACTAGAGAGGCGTTTTGGTGTGCCCAACTATGTACCCTCAAACCACATGGTCTCAAAAAAAGGTGTGAGTTCAATTCTACGAAAAGAATTCGGTACAATTAACATCACCTCATCACCGGATTTCATTATTTTATTGTTAAACTTTAGCGTGTAATTTCAATTTCTATCATCCTTGTCGTTATATTACTCTAATGGGATTTTATGTAAAACATTTTTATACCACGTATTTAAGATTTTTGCATTGCTTGCAAAATTTACTCCATATTGATATTTAGTGCTGAGGAAGCCCGAATGGGCAAAACGTACACATATTAAAGGCCACAAGAGAAAAGTTTGCTTCTTCTTCCGTTTATTCCACTTATCAGAGCTGTCGTAATAAAACGATTAACTACCTCTGAAGTCCTGCATATATATATAATTATAATTATATATATATATATACATTTGTATATATATATTTATTAAAAACTAGATCATTGGATAATGCCATTCAAGAGTTTTTATTGGTTTAGCTATTATGGTATATCAGCCAATATACCATAATCTACAAATATGGTAAGCGTACTTGTCAGCGTAAA